CCCCAACCCTTCCGGGACACCCCAACCCTTCCGGGGCATCCCAACCCTTCCGGGACACCCCAACCCTTCTGGGACACCCCAACCCTTCCGGGACACCCCAACCCTTCCGGGGCATCCCAACCCTTCTGGGGCATCCCAACCCTTCTGGGACACCCCAACTCTTCCGGGGCATCCCAACCCTTCCGGGACACCCCATCCCGGGGGATGCTCCGGGTGGCGCGGGAAGGGCCGTCCGAGTTCTGCCCAGAAAACCTGAGTGGGAGGTGGCCAATCCAACCCCCCCTCCCCGGGGGTTTATTCCTTGTTCCGGGGGTTTTATTCCCTGTTGCACCCCAGGACAGAGGTCGTTGTAACGCGGCAGGTTAATCATTGGAGCGTTTCCCAGGGTTCTTAGTGCCGCTGACATGGGAAGAAACAGGAAGATGAAATCTCCAGAAAGCCGTTTTTACTTGAAGGAAGGTCGGGAAGGACAATTAACCCCCCTCCCCACGGGGTAGTTCCTGTGCCCTGCCCTCCTACACTACATTTCAACTCACCCCCCACCCCGTTGTCTCACGGTACCATTTCCCTGCCGGGACTCCATTCCGGCACATTCCAGCACCTGGAATTCCTGTAAATAGCCGGGATATAGGAACGAAATGAAAGCTCTTATTTATGGGGGCCGGGATGGAGACGCAGGGCCGGTGTTTGTCCTCTTCTATTTTGGGGTTTTTCTAAATGAAAGCGTTGCAGTTGTCCTTCTGTTGGGGACGGATTTGTAAAGAGTTTGAATAATAAAACCTCAAAACAAAGGAAGTTTGTTCTGTGTTAACTCCAACCTGGAGGCTCCCACAGGAAGGGGAGAGGGAACAACACAGTGGAGGCTCCTGGATGATCGATCCCATCCTGCTTCCCAGGAATAACGACGCTACAGCAGAGAGGGATAACGGGATAATTTGAGGGAAGGATTGTTTTCCACCTGCTCTGGGCCTTGGCTTTGGGAAGACTCGGCTCTGGGCACTGACCCAGCTCCAGGGAGGAAGCACAAGGCCCGGGAGAGCTGAAAACAGGAAGGTGGTTCCTGGAACTGCCACCCCGGGAAGGGGAAGTGCCAAAAGCCCCGGCAGGGAGGGGGAAGGGGCAGGTTTGGCTCAGCTTTGGGCCTGCGGTGGGGTCAGAAATCCCAGTTCCTCCTCAGCAGCAGCCTGGGAGCGGAGCAGCACCGGCCGGAGGGTGTTCCAAGGTATTTCCTCCTTTTTCCTGGCACTTGGCAGCGCTGTGTCCAAACACAAGCCCTGCTCCTCACTGTCCAGCTGTCCCCAACAGCTGGATGGTTCAGGCTCCGAGATCCCAGCCAGGGATCCCTAAGGAGCATCTCTTACCCAGGGAGAGGGGGAGGAAGCACCTCCTCTCAGGAGAGGAGCCCTGAGAGCAGGGATTAGTTATTGCTGCTTCCAGCAAGTGCCATTCCTGGATGTGGCAGCGGGGAACAGGCAGGACAGTGCCATGGACAGCCCAGGCAGGATTGTGCCCATGGACAGCCCAGGCAGGACTGTGCCCATGGACAGCCCAGGCAGGACTGTGCCCTGGACAGCCCGAGCCACATCCTGGTGCTGCCACATCTCCCCGGAGCAGCACAGCCTGGGAATCCCAACCAGGGACCCCTGAGCCTGTTTTCCAGCAGGGAATGCCGTGTCCCTGCTCCCTGGCAGGCTGAGATCCCTCAGGATCTCTCCCAGAGGTGCTGCTGGTAGAAGTGAAGCGAATCAGAGACTGGGAGCCCAGGACTGGTTTCCAGAATTTGGCTTTACTTCGCAGTACAGAAATCATTTGGAGCCTGGAGGAGCCCCGGGAAGCACCGGCTCCGTCCTTGCCGGTACCGCGGCGCCGTTTTGGTCCATCCGAGGAGCCCCCAGGGACACAAAATACTCCCAACATCTTTGCCTGCTCTGCAATTTTTGTTCTCTCAATTTTATTAAGATTAAAACACAAAGGAGCCTCAGGCACAGCTGTGTCCCAACCCCTGTAAACAGGTTTAGAAGCTGAAGTGGAGGTTAAAGTTCTGTGCCCAGAACGAAGCCAACGTTTGCTGCTACAATAGATGTGGGCTTTGTCCATGATAACAACTTTGCCACGAGAGTTAAGGTCGATGGGAGGGACTTTTTAGGGATGCTGTCCACAATGAGGGAGTGCTCGGGTTCTACGTTCCTCGACACCGGGTCTGAGTGACGTTCACAGTCACATCTACGAGCTCACCAGAAGCACGGGGGGGGAGAGGGAGGGTGGAGGATGTTTTTACAAATGATTAAAAAGACAAGGTAAGACACAGCTGTCAATGAGATGTTATTTCTCAAATCTGCACCAACGTCTACTCTGCAAAAATAATAATAATCATCATCATCGTCATCATCATCATCCTAAGTTCACTTCTGCCTTTCTCTTTAGGGGGTTAGTCGGGGGGGGTCGGGGGGTTGCCAGATTCTGGACAGCAGCCCTACTAGAATGGAATAATTAACACATGATATCCAAAAAGGGAACATTACCAGTGCAGTAACTCTTCAATCTCTCAGAGATGGGATTACAAAAGCAGGCCTTACAATATTGAATTTCGTACAGTGTTCATTAAGTTCCTTATATATTCATATTAGCCCATTTAATTTCTCCTAATTAGAGGCTCTCTCATTACTGCTGCTCCTCCTCCCCGTAGATGTCGTTCTTCTTGCGCTTCATCTCCTCGAAGTCGAACTCTGAGCCCATCATCCTCTTGTAGATGTCCTTGATGTCGTCACACGTCGTCTCGAAGTGGGTGGTGGCGTCGTAGGTGCGGGAGATGAAGATCTGTGGGGACAGGGGGGGTTCAGGGCCGAGCTCGGGGCCCAGAGCTCAGGCCCAGCCCCGAGGCCGAGCTCGGCGAGCACTCACCTGGCTCTCGGTGCCCAGGTCGGTGGGCGCGAACAGGTCGCTGATGCTGACGAACCTGCGGGAGGAGAAGGGTTGGGAACACAAGGGTTGGGAACGGAAGGGTTGGGAATGGCCCCCAGTGCCCCCCACCCTCACCCCAGGGCTGAGCGCCCGGGAGGGGAGCAGGGAGTGAGTGCTGTGTCCAGCTCTGGGCCCTGAGCTCAGGAAGGGCCTGGAGGGGCTGGAGCAGGGGCAGAGAAGAGCAGCGAGGCTGGGGAAG